GGTTAATTAGTGTCCCAAATGTTGGTCTCAGTTTTCTATACAGTGAGGAGGTCTGACTGTGTAATCTCTAGAGGACCTTCCATTTTTTATTATTATCAAATATTGTGATTCTTTGTGGTTTGACCAATACAATGTATTATGTAATTATTATTCCTTGTGAAATCAGTGGAAAGAAGAAAGGGAAGCAAAGTGGTGTTTGTGGAAGGGGGAGAAAAGGCATTTTTATATCTTTATCCTGGAGATGGTGGAGAAGTATATGGATTGTATCTGATTATACAGGCATTTTTAATACTTAGAAAATGTACCTTGTTTTTAGTAGCCCAGAAAGCTTTCCTCTCTAAAAAAAAAAAGTCTCTCCACTTTACTATTTACTTATCCACCATTCATGATGAATAGAAAGAATATGGTTTGGAGCTCTGGAATTCCATGTGTATGAATCTCAGAAGCCATGTGCTTTCCTAATCACTGGCTGGAGGTGGGTGGGTGGAATTGGGGAAGGTCAATAAACTTTAACATGCAGGGTTCTGATATTTACTTTAAAATTTTTTCTTTTACTACTGTGGAGGAGGAAGAGGCATCCTATAACCATAATTACTTCTGTGCTCCTTCAAAGGCCAGGTGCATGATGTCAGAAACCAAAAGAAATCTAGCAATACTGGTGTAGATTGAGAGTAGGAAGAGGTAGTTTTTTCCTTTAAAAAAATTATTGATATATTTCTACATCATCTTAATTTCCCAGTATATCCCTCCTCCTTCCCCACCAAAGGAATCATTCCTTATAACAAAAAGGGAAAGAGAAAGAGAAAAAAAAAACAGTTCAACAAAACTAAGGCTCATATCAAACAGGTCTGATAGTTTCTACAGTGTTCCCCCACCTCTGCAAGGCAGGGAGGGAGGTACATTCTTGTAACTTGTCTCTGGAGCCAAACTTGGTCGTTATAATGACAAAGTATTCCATTTTGACTTTTTTTTTCCTATTTCTATTATTGTTTATATCATTTTCCTGGTTCTGTTCCTTTCACTTTGTATCAATTCATAGAAATCTTCCCCTATTTCTCTGTATTCTACATATTTGTCATTTCATATGGTATAGAAATATTCCGTTATCTTCACGTATCATAATTCGTTCAGCCATTCTGTGAGCATGTACTTTGTTTCCAGTTCTTTGCCACTACAAAAGGTACTATGACTAATGTTATGGTATATATGGAACTTTTCTTTGTTTTGTAAAAGTTAATTAAAAAATTTTTTTCAGTCAAAAAATTATTTTCTCTTCCTACCTTCTCATTTAAAAAAAAAAAGAGAAAAAGAGAAATAAAACTCTTATAAGCATGGTCAAGCAAAACAAATTCCGGCATTGTCTGTGTCCAAAAACTGTGTCTCAGTCTGAACTCTGAGTCAATCACCTCTCTGTCAGGAGATGAGTAGCATACTTCAGAGTAGATCCTAGTGAAATCAGTGGAAAGGAAAAAATAAGTCATAAAATAAAGGCATTAGAACTATTTTTAGAAGAGAGGAAAGGCAATTTTATACTTTATCCCACATGGTTGAGTACCTTTTTTCTGTCTTTTACCTACTTGGGTTATATGCCTAGCAGTAAGATTTCTGTGCCAAGGAGTATGGACGTTTTAGACTTTTTTTTTTTAGGCATTTGGGGTTTAGTGACTTTGCCCAGGGTCACCCAGCCAATAAGTGTCAAGTGTGTGTGGTCTGAGGCCGGATGTGAACTCAGGTGCTCCTGACTTCAGGGCCAGTGCTCTATCCACTGAGCCACCCAGCTGCCCCCATTTTAGACAGCTTCTTAGCATAATAAGTGAGAGTATTTTCAATTTAATACAGTTAGGGGTGATGGAACATAGAGAGTCATATAAGGAAGTCTTCTCAGGTAGTATTGAAGATGGTCTTGGGAAGTGTCTTGATCACATAATTGGTATCCATTGAGAGAGTGAAGTTTGGGGAATGTGCAGAGGGGTAGAATGCTACTGCCTAAGCTGCCATGTTTGGGAGGGTGTGCATTCTTAGCTCAATATCCTGGGAGCTGCCATGTTTGAACAAGGTGGGTTGCCAATAGTGGGTACATAGTTCCATAGCTAGACTGTCTAGGACTTTCAGATGAAACATGCAATATCTGGCCACTTGGAAACAGCTGAAAATCCCTTTAAATCTTCTTTGAAAACAATATAGAGGATTGGATATATAGATAGGAGGGATGTCCTATGGGACTTCAGGCAAGTCATTTTTACAGTTACCCAAATAAAAATTTTGAAACTTTGTATAACACTCAATAAGAGCCTTCTTATTTCTGTGATAAAGCAATGGCTAATTGGCAGTTCTAGATCTTATGATCATAGATAGATCTTGGACTAGAAGGAACCTTAGAGGCCATCCAATCCAATCCCTTCATTTTACTGATAAAGAAATTAAAGTCTAGGGAGTTTAAATAATTTAACCAAGGTCCAACAGATAGTAGACCTCAGAAGCAATATTTGAATTCAGCTCTTCTGACTCTAGACCCATGTTATTTTCCCACTGTACCATGGATAGTCAGAGGATTTGTGAATATAGATAGGAAAAAACCTGTTTTTTCACTAACCTTTGTTTTCTAAATTCTGTTTATTTTATTTTATACATTTTAAAACATTCTGTGAAGTGGTCCCTAGGCATTACCAGGCTATCAAAGGTGACCATGGCACACAAAAAGATTTAGAACCAAAAATTAAATTAAATTAAAAAATAAATTTAAAAAAGGTTTAGAACCATTGGTCTAAGGTCTTGGAGTCCCCAATTCTCTGAGGCATGCTACAACCTTTTTTTCATGAGGGCTCGTAGAATACTTCAGAACTGGAATGCTTCCAAATGCTCTAAATTGTCACTTTTCCTATGAAGAAGAAAGACTTGATCAATCATAGGATTATAGATTTATTGGAAGACACCCTAGAAATCATCTAGTCAAACCTGGCCATGTTATGAATGAGGAGACTACAGCCCTCAGATGAAGTATTTTGTTCCAGTTTAACAGTGTAAAATAAGTGTCAAGGCAGAGATTTGAACCCAGGCCCTCTGGACACTGCTTCTAGCAATTTTCCACTGTACCTGTCAGGCAGAGTTGCTGATGGGTAGTGTCCTTAATAAGACTTCATATAAAGTCCTGAACCATGTGCAATATCTATTCTAATTTCTACTTTGGGGATGAGCTTTAAGCTGCTGACCATAGATGGTAGAGATACTCGGGAAAGAGGCAATAAGGGGAGAAAGGAATGTCCAAGGGGAAGCTTTGCTTTCTTTGGGAAGCCAGAACTTTCAGAAAAGAGGGAGAGATGTTGCTTCTCGGTGTCTCTGTCCTGCAAATGCAGGATACTGCAGCTATTTGAGAGTTCTTTTAAGTGTAGACCCAGCTGGGTCTCTTAAGGAGACATGGTTTTCTTTCCTGGACAACTCCGGCTTGGAAAAACCTATTTGGCCGCCCGCTAAAACATTTCCAGTGTGGGAGCACTTCTTCAGGATGGATAGGGACAGTCAGGAGCAAAGAAAAAAAAAGTGATTTAGCTTTACATGATTTGCTGAAAGACATAGAGGAATCTGAGAGCTGATTGCTTTTGGACAGGTCACTTCATCTCTGAAGGCCTTGGTTTCATCAACTGTGAAATTAGGGGAATTGTACCTGATGACCTCTAATTTCCCTCCTTTTTCTAAATCTCTGCTCCTTTGATCCTACCCAGACAGACACACAAACACAACAATGGTCTTCCCATAAAGAAGAGCATTTAACCATTCTCATACTGTGGCTCTCAGCAGCCCTGATAGTCATGGGGTAGGAATATTCTTTTGGTGCCTAAAAGCAGGAGCTTCTTGGAGAAAAGGATAATTGAAAGAGTTCCATTTACCCTATCTTAGATCAGGGGAAGGAAGGGCCTTTGTCAACAAGAGAGTCTCTGAGCAGTTAAATAGGGGGATATATCAAAATTGGTGGCAAAGGGCCATATTGCTTTTCCTAGGAGGGTCAATGGGAGCGGAAGGCTTGTTGTGACTATTTTTAAAATACACCATAGGAATGAGAGTGCGTGTGTGTGTATGTGTGTGTGTGTTGTGTGTGTGTGTGTGTGTGTGTGTGTGTGTGTGTGTGTGTGTATTCTGAGGTTTGCTGCTAAGTTTTCTTATTCCTGGCCAAGTGTGACTCAAAGGGCAGACCATTTCCTGCCTGCCTCCTGTGTTAGCTGCAAGTGGAAACATGGTTAGAGTAATGTTTCCTCTAATCTGACATGTATCTTCTGATCTAGGCCTTCCTCACCCCCAGTAGCCTTGGAATTGAGGGCTGGTGAGGAGAGTAAGTAACTTAAAAACACCAAACTCTCATCTCCGCCATTGCAAGCCTTGGGAATGGCCCAGCAGTCATGGCTCACGGTTGGCAAGGTGCATAGATGCATTGATGACAATCATTTTTTACATTGATACTTTCCCACATGGTCTTGAAAATAACCTGTCATCTAAGAGGAAAGCCTGAAGGAGGAGGAAGTAAGGGGGCAACACAGGAGCCCACTGGAGGTGCCACTAAAAGTTATTATATGAACCCAGTGAAGGAAATCTCACTTCTTTCTTTGACTCAGGTTGAAAAGAAATCTGCAGTGGAGCTCAGCATAAGAAAAAAAAGAGTTCTTAAGTCCGTGGGTTTGGGCTAAGTGGGTTTGGACTCATGGAGGACATGAGTCCCCATTATCTCACTCACAGGGCGCCATCATGGTCAGTGCTCAGGATGAAGAAAGAGGGATGGCTTGTATATCATTTCACTTGGAAGGGGGAAAAAAAGTTTGTTAGTTTCCTCTAGGGCTGACTATGAACAAAGTAAGGCAAAGGACTGGTTTCTGAACTTCTTGGAAAGATGATTATCAGCTGCTACCCAATACTTGTATTGCCCTGGGCCAGGCTACAGGTGAAGGGAGCTAAGGTCTTAGGGACTTGCTTCTCACTCACTGGAAATGTCTTTTCTTCTTTTTCATGTCCAGCGTTGAGGGAGAAGCCCCAGGGAGCGAGACTGGCACCTCTTTGGACAGCCCCTCAAACTACCATCAAGGTCCAATAACGCACAGCTCCACTCTAAGCCCTGACCACTACGACCACTCTGCGTATGGACTATACTCGGTCTCGCCTGGGCAGCCACAACGCTCCCGGAGGCCCAAGCTCCAGCATTCCACCTCCATCCTACGTAAGCAGGCAGAAGAGGAGGCCATCAAGAGGTCAAGGTCCCTTTCCGAAAGCTATGAGCTCTCCTCAGACCTCCAGGACAAGCAGGTAGTTGGACTCTGTGTTCACTTCTTCTGTGGAGTGAGAGAAGTCAAAATGTGGCTGCACTGACAGCCCGGGGTCTGGTGAGGAATAGCTGGCCTTCTGGAGAAGGAGAAACAAATGTCTGTTTGCTGGAGTCTCACCTGGCTCAGGGCTGGCAGAATGGAAGGCAAAGAGGGAGAGACCAGTCAGGTCTTTAATTTTTTGTCCCGTTGCCTGATTCAAACATAAGCTAAAATGCAGGTTCATGGAGAATATGGCATATGTGTGTATGTCTTTAAAATGTGTGTGTTTATATGTGTATACATACATACATATATATATATACACACACACACATATATATACACATATACATATATAGGTAAAAGGTAGGTTCATGGAACATATGGCATATGTGTGTGTTTTATATGTGTTTGTATGTTTGTATACATATATAGCTAAAATGTAGGTTTATGGGAGAATATGGCATATGTGTATGTTTTAAAATACCTGTGTGTTTGTATATACATACATATATAACTAAAATGTAGGTTTGTGGAGAATATGGCATATGTGTATTATATGTGTGTTATATGTGTGTTCATATATATATATATATGTGTGCATACATATACACGTAATAGCTAAGATACAGGTTCATGGAGAATATGGCATATGTGTGTATACATACACACATGGCTTAAATGTAGTTTCCTGGAGAATGTGGCATGTATGTATACATGCAGGCATGCATACGTGTTGCCAGTCAACAAACATTAAATGCTTACTCTGTGCCAAACAATGTGTTAAAGCATTGTTTCAGACACAACACTTCTTGCTTCTTATTGGAGCTTGGCTCCTGGTATTTCTTCCGTAAAAGACTTCAGTTTTTTCAAGTAAAAGAAGAAGGTATAGCTGGGATGGGGTTGGGGCAAGGACCAGTAGCCTGACCTGGTCCGCTTAACCAGAAAGACTCTCCCTTGGTGGGTCGTCTTAGTGCAGGTCTGTAAAAAGGGCCTTGGCATGGCTCACATGTAAAGGAGGGAACAGAAAAAGAAAGAGCAGTGTGCTAGATGGTACTAGTATCAAGGTAGGTCAATTGGTAGCATAAATAGCACAAACTATTCACAGCCAGGGGAGATGAGGTTGCTTATTATATCTTCTTTCATTTACAACTTTGTTCTCTGCTGGGAAATCAGCCTCATTGAATGCTGCAGCCTGGCTTACTGTTAAAGCACCTTTCTTTTTCCTTGGGGAAGCCTTGCCCCCCAGGGCTTTGACTCAGTTCTACACGTGTGAGCATCGGTCTTCACAGAGAGAGCCTAGGGCGATTCTTGTTTCCTGATGGGTTCAGAGCCCTTCGGGCTGCCCCTGGAGAGAGAGCCAGAGGCTACTTCTGTAGGGTGGGTGTGGAAAAAGGAGGGTCCCAGCAGCAGTGGAAGGGGTGTTAGTGGGTTTAGGAAGGGAACGCCTATGATGTGCCAGTGACTAAGCTAAGCGCTTTACAGATGTCCCACTTGATTCTCAGAACAACCTTGTGAGGTAGGTGTTATTATTATCGCTATTTTACAGTGGAGGAAACTGAGGCAGACAGGGGTTAATAAGCCCAGTGTCACATGGCTAGCAGGCTGCATTTTGAACTCAGGTCTTCCTGACTCCTGGCCCAGTGCTGTATTCACTGCACCTCCTAGGTAAAGGTGGGTCTGATGGTGATGACAAAGGAATCACTGAGAATTTTCCTTCGTCTGTACTTCTTTCTGTGCGTGTCGTATGTCCCCAATAGAATGTAAGTTCCTTGAGATCAGAATCTTTTTCATTTTTGTCGTTGTATTCCTAGCACCTAGATCAGCAACTTCTACCTAGTGGACTCTTACATATTTGTTCCATTGAATCGAGAAGGCTCAGTGTTCCTCCTTCCTCCAATTCCTTATTGGTAAATTCCCATGGAGGAAGTGTGGTGCAAGGGAGCTAGGTTCAAATCCTGCCTTTGATGATTAGTCACGCGGGCCTCAGTTTCTTCATCTATAAAGTGAAGAATCTGGACTTTATGACTTCAACTACAGAAGTGCAGTGCTAAGGACAGGTAGAAGCCAAGTCAATTTAAATAAGCATTTGTTAAGCGCCTACTGTGTGCTGAGCACTGAGATACAAAGAAAATCCAAAACAGTCCCTGCCCTCAAGGATCTTTCACTCTAACAGGAGAGACAACATGAAAATAACTATGTATATACAAGGTATGTATAAAATAAATTGGAGAAAATGTTAGAGGAAATCATTAGCAGTAAAGGATACTGGGATAGGCTCCATATAGAAGACAGGATTTTAGCTGTGACTTGATGGAAGCAGGGAGGCAGAGGTGAGAAAAGAAGGGATTCCAGGCATGGGGGACAAAGCAGCACATGTTGATAGGAAGGCTGGGGGCTGGGGAAGGGAGCTGATTCAGCAGAGAGCACAGCAAGGGCAGTTGGTTATTTTGACCGTCTGCTTACTGCACCTTGGCCGGAGAGCTCCCAAGCGAGGGACCCTCCCTTCCTCAGCAGAGGATAAACACAGTTAGAGACACAGCACAGCAATATCATGGAAAGAGCTGGTCTAGAAGTCAAGGTGAGACCTCCATTCTAGGGCTAGTAGCTCCAACATCGATAACATGTGACTTTCAACAAGTCAGCTCATTTCTCTGAGTTCAAGTAGGGTAATATTTACCAGAGCCCCACACAGGGGGCTGTGGGGGCCAAATGATATATAAAGCCTGTGTGCTAATGGGAGGAAATGTTAACCAGAAATAACTAAAAAATAGTAGGCAATATGCTTCCTTGCAGTAACATAGGCAACAGGGGGAGGGTGGTTTTGAGGACCCACATTAATAGAGCTTTGAGTTTCTTGAGGTCCCACAAGAACCTTAATCAGGCTATTTCCCTTCATGGGGAGCACCATTAGAGGTGACTAAGAAAAGTTAGTATGTAACTCCTACATTTTTCTTGCCTTAGATGAGCTTACATTTTATCAGGGGGAGACAAAATACACATATATAAATGCGTACAAATTGAATGTAAAGTAGTTTTATGGTAGCTGCCCTGGTTGGTCAGTCAATAAACATTTCCCAAGCTCCTCCTTCTTATGAGCCCTAGGCACTGTGCTAAGCACTGAGGCTACAAAGAAAGGTAAAAGACCATCCTGCCCTTGAGGAGCTCCCAGTCTAGTGCAGACAAGTTGGTGGGATTGGGGAGGGAGAGCATTGTAGGCAAAGAGGGCCAGCCAGGGAGATTGCCAGGAGTCAGATGAGATGTCTTGTTGTGAGGAACAGCAGAGATCAGCGTCACTGCATGGCAGGGTATGTATGTTTGGCAGGGGTGGGCGTAAGGTGTAAGAAGACTCGAAAGGTGGGGATCAGAGCCTGTGATGAAGGGCTCCAAATGCCAAACAGAGGATTTTGTATTTGATCCTAGAGGTGATAGAGAGCCACTGGAATTTATTGAGTAAGGTTGGGGTTTTTTTACATTTTAAAACATACATATGTTTATTAAATAATTTATTAATTTTTAGTTTTTAACTTTCACTTCCATAAGATTTTGAGTTTTAAGTTTTCTCCCCCTCCCCAAGATGGCATGCAATCTGATATAGACTCTACTGATACGTAAATCATATATTTTTGTTGATATCTTTTGTTTTTATCTCTCTTACTTTCCTATACTTTCCCCTTCCCCTTTCCCAGAGAGCCATCCTTTATAACAAAGATTTTTTTTAAAGTAAAAAAAAAATATTAGAAAATGGAGAATAATCAGTAAAAAACCAATCAACACATCAAAAGAGTGCATTTTATGTAATGGCCCATACTCATGGACCCTGATATCTGAAAAGAAACTGGAGGGGCAGGGAAGAAGTCTTACATTTATTTTGCAGCTCGTCCTAAGGCAACACCTGCCTTAAAGTAGACTAAATACTCAAGTTGTATAATCAATATACTAACTGTGCATCTCGTGTTTTCTTTAAAACAGCAGCACTACCATAGGCGTAATATGTCATCACTGCCAAGGTGTATTTTTAATTTTTAGAATTAAACCCGAACTTGGCCAAGAGATGTCTGGACCATTTGCTCTGTGATGATGGGAATGACTCATGGTGGTCTGTATGGATTGTTCACCAAGCCAGAGTCCAGCTTCCTGCTGAGTCTGGTGCTGAGACTTGTTTGCCATTATATTATTTTCCTACCCCCAATGGGGATTTCTTCCACCAAAAGAAGAGCTTAGCTTAGCTTAGCCAAGGGCTAGAATTGCCCAGGAGTTTTTTATGCAGATCTCCCTGCCACTGACCCCTACAGTTCCTCCAAGACCTTGGCCCAATGTGAAGCTTTGTCCAAAAAAGGCCATTGCTGTGTTGGGCACTGTTAGGAAGAAGATTAGAAATGAAACACAGATACTTATTCTCCCTAACGTGTCCATATCTGGGATGCTTGTGTGTTAGGGTCTAGATGGCATTCTTCAGGCCAGATGTAAAAGAGATGAAGGAAGGGTATGGAGAAGATGACCTGAAATGATCCAGGCTTTGGCATAGAGCTGCCATATGACATGTTTGGGTTTTTTTTAATGGAAATATTCAATATGGAAAGATGGTATGAGGAGAGTTTTGATTAAAGCCTGGGAAATCATGAAAGGGTAAACACAGAGCATAGAAACTTAGATTTAGACAGGGAAAAGGATCATGGATATGATCTGCTCTCATTCCAGCACTTTACAAATAAAGAAACAGTCCCAAAGGAGTTAAGTGACCTGCCATGAAAAAATACATGATAAGTAACAGAGTGGAAGGAGCAATAGGTTAGGGGTCAAGAGACCTGGATTCCGGTCCCAGCTTGGCCATTTAATCACTGTGTAACCTTGAACAAGTTAACTTCTCTGAGATTCAAAACAGAAAATAATTGCTGCCCTCTCTGCTTCTCAGAACCAAAATAAGATGATGCGTATAAAAACACTTCTTAAAACTCCAAAGTAGTGGTCTGGTAGCTGGTTTTCTTATTACTTGTTACC